TAGCATGCTCCAGCATGCTCCATTTTACATTAATATGTTCCATCATGCTCCTCCATTCTCCACAGTGCTCCTCATGCTCCACCATTCCCCTTCATTCTCTATCATGCTCCAGCATGCTCCTCCATTCTCCACAGTGCTCCTCCATGCTCCACCATTCCCCTTCATTCTCTAGCATGCTCCAGCATGCTCCATTTTACATTAATATGTTCCATCATGCTCCTCCATTCTCCACAGTGCTCCTCCATGCTCCACCATTCCCCTCATTCTCTAGCATGCTCTATTACATTTCAGTATGCTCCATCATGTCCCTTCATAGTTCTCCATTCACAGGAGAACATGACACGAAGGCTGTGTGGGTCCTCCCAGGGTACACAGGACAAAGCCCAGGGTGTTCACAATGGCCTGGAAGTAGGGAGTCCCCGTTTGGATGCTGCCCAGATCCCTGGACTTCTTCAGACCACTCCTCCACTCTGGACCCATCCTGCTGGTATTCTGGAAGTTCCTTCAAAGCATGGGGCTCCCTCATATGTCTGGGAGGTCGCATGCACTGTTTCTTCTACTGGAACACTGTCCCTCCCCTGCTCCCCCTGACCCCCAGAATTCATCACATTCTAAAGGCCTCTCCCCCCTGCTGTCAGGCCTGTGCTCACCCAGGTGGCCTGCAGCAAACAAACTGAGCTGGCCCTTGGCCCGTCCATCCCCTCACCGGACTCTGAGATCCGAGAGGGCAGGCCTGGGCCTCTGTCCTTTACCCACGTGCCTGGCACAGCTCCTGGCATGTCGCTCACCCTCTGCATGTCTCATGACGTGACACACCCAGCAGTGAGAGACAATAAAGAAGAGATGAAATCCAGCCCTTCCCAATACTGAAGATAAATGTCAAGTTCTAGCAACAGCCACTAAGGTGGCAAAGGGCAGCCCAAACTGAAGGAGACTAGGGAGACGAGGAAGTGATGCTCCGGAGCTGGGAAGTGACTGGGGTGCTGCCCGGCCAGGGCAGGTGGGGTGCTGGCCAGCTGGGGCAGGTGGGGTGCTGCATGGCCGGGGCAGGTGGGGTGCTGCTGGGCCGAGGAGGGTGGGGTTCTGGCCAGATGGGGAGAGTGGGGTGCTGCCTGGCCGGGGCAGGTGGGGTGCTGCCTGACCGGGGCAGGTGGGGTGCTGGCCAGCTGGGGCAGGTGGGGTGCTTCCTGGCTGGGGCAGGTGGGGTGCTGCCGGGCTGGGGCGGGTGGGGTGCTGGCCAGCTGGGGCGGGTGGGGTGCTTCCTGGCTGGGGCAGGTGGGGTGCTTCCTGGCTGGGGCAGGTGGGATGCTGCCTGACCGGGGCAGGTGGGGTGCTGCCGGGCCGAGGCAGGTGGGGTGCTGGCCAGCTGGGGCAGGTGGGATGCTGCCTGGCTGGGGCAGGTGGGGTGCTGCCTGACCGGGGCAGGTGGGGTGCTGCCGGGCCGAGGAGGGTGGGGTGCTGGCCAGCTGGGGCGGGTGGGGTGCTGCCGGGCCGAGGAGGGTGGGGTGCTGGCCAGCTGGGGCGGGTGGGGTGCTGCCGGGCCGAGAAGGGTGGGGTGCTGCCTGGCCGGGGCAGGTGGGGTGCTGGCCAGCTGGGGCGGGTGGGGTGCTGGCCAGCTGGGGCGGGTGGGGTGCTGCCGGGCCGAGAAGGGTGGGGTGCTGCCTGACCGGGGCAGGTGGGGTGCTGCCGGGCCGGGGCGGATGGGGTGCTGGCCAGCTGGGGCGGGGCAGGAGGGCAGCACGGTGTCGGTGTCGCAGGGCTGGGACTGAGCTTGCTGTGCCCTCACTCCCATCAGGCCGAGCTCTCCGCTGGAGCTCGAGCTGGTGTCTGAGGCTGTCCCAGGACCTGAATGACGCGCCTGCTTCTTTGTGCTAATGAGCAGCACACAGAGGGCATCGATCTGTAGCTTGTTGGGGAGCAAAGACTCACTGCGCAGCAGGTTCCCTGGTACGTTTGTTAAGCCAGCACCAACTAAACAGATGTTTAAATAATTCGAAAAGGGCAGTGTGGAAAAATAAGAAAGATAAAAGTCCCCAAACAGACTTTAAACAGTTAAGTCGTTACCAAAAAGTAATTAGAGATAAAACTAGAAAGCAAAGCTCAAATTTATCACAGCAAAGGCTTGGGCGAACACGAGGGTAAAGCCCAACACCGAGAGGCCAGAGCCAGAGATAATGAAAAAGATCAAATCTTTACATAAAAGAACAGTCTTAACATTGATTAGAAAATAATTTCTTTAAAAACCAGGAAGCAATTTTCGAGCACCTAGGGTGGTTTTTAAATAAGAAAAAGACGTTTCAGCTTGTAAACTCCAGCTTCTATAGTAACTTCTAATAAACATTTGAGGAAAGCACACAGTAAACGGAATAGTTAAGATAAAGATGAGCCCAGCTGGCGTGGCTCAGTGGATGAAGCATCGCCCCATGGACTGAGAGGTCCTGGTTTGATTCCCGGTCAGGGCACGTGCCCGGGTGTCAGGTTCAGTCCCCGGTGGGGGGCGTGCAGGAGGCAGCCAGTCGATGGTTCTCTCTCACATCGATGTTTCCATCTCTCTCTCTCCCCCTCTCTCTCTAAAAAGCCAATAAAATTATTTAGTATTAAAATATAAAGATGAAGTTGTGATAGATCACAAAGCATTTAGGAAGGCAGAAAAATAAAACCAAAATTTGAATATGTGAGAGCTAAATTCAGCTTTGAGCTTCCTGACACCCAAAGCAAAAATAGAACAGAAGCCCCCCCCCCCCCCCCCGCCCCGTTTCAGAGCACACGTTCCCCATGAGGCCACATCGCCCCCCGGGGGTGAACACTGGTTCTTGGGGGACAAAAAACATCTTACTTTAGGGAAGAAGCATAGATATACATAGATAGATACAGTGTATCTATACTATTAACATTTCATAAAGAATGATTAGAGCCCTGGCCGGTTTGGCTCAGCGATTAGAGCACTGGCCCGTGGATCTATGGGTCTCAGGTTCGATTCTGGTCAAGGGCACATACCTGGGTTGCAGGTTCGATCTCTGGCCCTGATCGGGTTGTGCAGGAGGCAACCAATCAATATGTCTCTCTCACATCGATGTTTCTCTCTCTCTCTTTACCCCCCTCCTTTCCAGTCTCTCTAAAAAATCAATTAAAAAATACCCTCCAGTGAGGACTAACAACAACAAAAACATTGATAAAATAAATGGCTCCTCGGGAAGCAACAGCGAGAAAAGGTTGAGAAACAGCTTCTGAGGAAAAGGGATCTGTCGTTGCCTCTGGAACCTGATGCCAAAGGAACATCTCGGGAGGCTCTCGGTAGCAGCGGCCGGTTCCACCTTGAGTCTAGCCTTGCTGTCCAACCCCGAAGACATTCTGTTCTGTGCAGTTTGACGTTCATCCTTTCGTGGCTATATTTGCATATGGATAACTAGGAAGTCTCTGGAATGTGCCAAATGTGTCCAGTGTGTCCTCCCTGACTGCTGCGTTCACCATGTTCTGTCCAGCTCTGGACAGCAGCCTGGCACCTCTCGTGGGACAGGAGGGATCCAGCCGTGTGGCGTGTGGGGGTCACCCGGGGGGACTTTCTGGAGGAGGCTGTGGTAAGGAGGCTCGACGGAACATATTAGTGTACAGTGGAGCAGCTGGAGCTCGGTGCAGAATGAAGGAGCCTGGTGGAACACGGTGGAGCGTGGTAGAGAGTGATGGAGCACAGGGGCTGTTACAGTTTGGGGGAACAGCTCATGCAACTGAAATGCAGATCATCCAAACACGATCCACCCCCAGGCTGGCCTCCCAGGCTCTCCCAGGTTGGTGTGGTGAGGCCTTATTTCAGGGTCATGGATAACATCCCATTTCTAACATACGGAGCGTGGATATTTACCTTGTCAGAGAGTAAGGATTCGCACGGAAAAGAAACCCATGTTCACGGGTGTCTGTGAGGCCCAGGGCATGGGCTGTATACTGACAGGCAGCACGGATGAACCTGGGGGGGCCTCCCGGAGACCAGGCACATCGGAGTGGCTGGGGCTGCTCTGTGGCAGCCGCCCCAGGGCCTGGGTGCAGGGGGCCCAGAGGCCCCTTCCCGTGCTGTTTCATGTTCTCAAAAAGATTGAAGGAGACAGAAGTTCATGTGCGGTGAAAAGAGCTGGCGAGAAAACCATGTCTGCAGCAGGATGACCACTTTATACAGAGAAACGCACGCAATTCCGAATCGTACCCACGAGACGGCGTCGCAGCGCTGACTGCCCACGAGGGGGCGGGCTCGGGTCCTTTCCCACGCATGCGCTCTGTTCATAGCGTTTAAAGCAACATGTGGAGATTTGGAACACGCCGAGGAACGGGACCCACCGAAGCCACGAAACCCATTGTTTATATTTATTTATTTATTTATTTATTTATTTATTTATTTATTTATTTATTTATTTATTTCATTTTCTTAAAGTTATATATATATTACCTAATTTAAAATTTATCTTTATTGTTGAAGGTATCATAGATGGCCCCCTTTTCCCCAGTGACCCCCTCCTCCCCACTCCCCCCCCCCCCTCACCACACTGTGGTCTGTGTCCACTGGTTACGCATATACTTAAGCCGGACACTCGGCTGGAAGAACTGATTTAAGGTGAACCTGCTTGCGAGGCGCACGTCTGGAAGGGACACGGGAACACGTTTTACACGGAGAAGAGGACCCCACTGCCTTGCTTCTCATCGCCCGAGGTGCAGAGAAAGGTCTGCCGTCCTCTGTGTCTCAAGTTGCAAGACAGATCCCACGACACAAAGCCTTCTCCAAACAGGACGCTGGAAAGGCCCAGGGAGGGGAAGGGGCGCGGGCGGAGCCCAGGGCGGGAGGCATCTCGGGTGGGGGTGCGGCATCGTGGACAGGGGGGCGCAAAGCGCTCCGAGGATGCAGAATGCAGAGCCCCAGTTGTGGGTTACATCCGGGGTAAAGACAGCATGTCGGACACCTGGAGTCTTTTAAATAACATTTTATTTTTCATTGTCAATGATTAACTTTTGAGCCTATTAGAAGGGTATCATGATTACAGTGAATAAAAAAATATAGATGATAGAATAAAAATATTAGGTTATACAAAGTTAGCCTTTTAAAATCATCATTCGTCGACATTCTCAGGACGTTGGAGCTTTGAAAAAAACAACAGAAATTAATTTGGATTTTTTTTTTTTTTTTTTACATTTCCAGCAGTTAAAAATGAAGAGCACACATCGGGAATCACTGCGGACAACTATTACAATAAATGGAAGGACCACAACAATTAAAAAGTCGTGAGAACCAGCATATATATATACACTTCTGTACAGAGGACAAAAAGAACTCACCCAGTTAAAACCATCTCTCACAGAACATGTATTCTCTATTTAAAAAGACAAAAACTGATCTTCCTATACGCATAGTTATTCTTCCACTTGATCCAGTATTTTTAATGGTGTTTCCACTCCATAAATTAGTAACTGTTCAGTAGCTGAGAAATATCCTATTTTAAATTATACCAGAGGAGACCAGGCACTCCCTGAAACAGTCCGCCGTAACTGCCGTCGTTGGAGATGCACTCCACCCACGCAAAGCCCCGCCGCGGGCTGCAGCCGGGAGGGTCTGAGAAATCATCCCGCGCGGAAGCTGGGGGTTGGCCGATGCCAAGATGAGGCGTGGGAAGCTCGGGGGCTACTTACGGGGTTCCCGAGGACGACGCCTCCCTTCTGCTGGGCTCAGCTCAGCTCCGCCTCCCTCTTTGCTAATGACATTTGGCACAAAAGGCACGAGAAGAAAGGGCTTTGGGGCAAGACTTGGGCTCTCTCCAAGAGGACACTCAGAAGCCCCTAGTTTGATAAACACCCCAGGACGTCCCTGGCCCATATCCACCGTGGTCCCCAATACTAAAATCCACACAGTCCAAGGCTGAGAAGGAACTCCTTTTAAGGAAAAGCAATGGCCCTAAATGTCAGACACCTCGGGTCCAATGAGGTCAACGCCAGACACAGAAGGGGGCGGGGACGGGGACAGGCATGATGACAGCTCGCTCTTTGCAGCGTGTCCGCCCTGCTCACTGCACGATGCCGGAGTCCACCGATGTCTGCTTGCGCGTGGTCTTCGGAGGGGGCGGAGGCGGGGTCTTGCTGGGCAGCGGAGGCGGCAGGTGCTAGAAGACAGGGAGGTGAGGGAGACGCACGTTACTGATGCAGGGAAGCAATGGGGGGTCTGTCCCGGCACAGCGGCAGCAGGGAACGCTGACCTGCACCCCTGCGTGGGGGCTGCCTTCTGTGGGGTGTGGGGCTGGCAGGTCCGCTACACGCAGGGCTGGGCTGCCGGCCCCCAGATCAACTGCTTTCTCACAGAGCGGTCTGCACAGCCCCGGAGAAGGACGGCGGCTGTAAAGCCTGGTGCCATTGTCTAGGGCCCCGGAAGTGAACTGGGTGCCCACTGGGTGGTTTACTTGTTCAGAGCAAGTGACTATGGGCAAAGCAGGACCAGGGCCATTCAGGCAGCCTGGTGGTGTCACAGCGGAGCCTTCCTCCATGGGGACCCACAGGTCGCTCCCTGGGCCCCTGCAGACGCCTCAACACGAGTCCAGGACAGGCAAGTCCTTGGAGGTGCCCTCCAGGCTGGGAGAGACGCCCGCCCTGGCTCTCAGGATGGGAACGGCCACAAGGAGGTCTGGCCAAGCCATGGATGGCACCTGCAGCCACCATCCAAGTGACCCATCTACAAGGTCGTTTCTCATCCAGTCTGTTCTGAAATTGCACACGGAGGGCCATGAACCAGGTTAGGGGGGTGTTTAAACTCTACAGGAGGGAAATACAGTACTTGAAAAAACAGTGTAGCTGTGTCCCAATAAACAGTGTTCACAGAAACAGGCTGCACTGGGCCCAAGGACCATGGTTCCCTTAGAGTCTCGAGAATAAATTCACAACCGTAAAGGTGGCAGAAAGACCCACTTAATGGACCTGGCAGGTGTGAATGATGGGGGCGGGGGCTGTTCCCTCTGGCTTCTGAACCCTCCTGCATGACAGGCACCTGAGACACAGGAGACGCCACTACGACCAGTAGGTAGATGAGTGAACCACTGACTGAATGACTAGACGGGCAGACGAACGGACCAGGTGAGGGGCGCACGCCACCGACAGGACAAACCGGACGAAATCACAGCCACCGTCTAACTAGGGCGAGAGCCGACCTCACAGCTCCGTGGAGGAGAGCTTTCCAGGACAGAACGGTGGCACAGCCGTCTCTTGTCCCTTGTCCAGATTCCCTCCCTGTTTGCAGACAAGGACATACTGAAATGACCCCGTGCTGCCCTGGCTGGTCTTGCTTAGCGGTTAGAGCATCAGCCTGTGGACCGAAGGCTCTTGGGTTCAATTCCCAGTCAAGAGCATGTACCTGGGTTACAGGTTCAATCCCCAGGGTCGTGCAGGGGGCAACCAATCGATGTGTGTCTCACATCGCTGTTTCTCTCTCTTTCTCTCTCTCTCTCTCTTCCTTCTTCCCTCCCTTCCACTCTATCTAATGGAAAAATATCCTAGGGTAAATATTCTCGGGGGAGGATTAACAACAACAACAGAAAACAATACGATGACCTAGTGTTCAACAGAGGAGAGAATAAGTATGGCTAGACAGTTAAAAGAGGCAACAGGAAGAGATGGTGTGGATGGCAAGCCCAGGGGTGGTCGCGGAGACCATCGACACCCCACGGCAGAGGAACGATCGTCATCCTACCAGCTCCCAGGGTCCCCACAAAGGGAGGCCCCCTGGATACGCAACTGCTTCCAACTCATCATGACACACGGGGCCCATGGCCATGTCACCCGAATGTGCGCTCGCGCTGCGGGTAAATGGAACGAGGAGCAGAAAGCACAGAGACTCGGGAGAGGGATGGATCTGATTGAATCACAGCCTCTGTAAGAGGGACCAGAGCCGGTGCCTTGGGCTGCGTCCCTGACCAACAGCACTAGCGTCGAAGCCCCTGCAGGACGAGTCTAAGAAACGGAGCCAAGACGATGTGGCCCCTGAGTGGATTTGTAACCAAAAGGGACTTGCTCAGACTTCCAGGTTGAGAATTTTCAGTTCCCTGGTGTAGGAGGCCCTGCGGGGAAACCCTCCTTTTCCGGTCAAACAAAGACATGAAAATAAAGATCTGATTGGTTGACTAAGCTGCTAGGAAAAGAAGACCCCCCGACCAATCAGTGTTTTCGCTGGACTCTCTGGGTCTCCTCTCGTTCTAACTTGTAGTTGCTTGGTCTGTGTTCCGTTTCCATTGCTGCAACAAGAGCCGTTGCTGGGTGACCTGCCCTGTCTCCAGGGCCAGTTCCCCATCTTGGCACCTCTAGGGACAGAGGGCTGATCTGAAAGGCACTGCAGCCTTGGGACAGGTGACCCCCAGCGTCAGGGCAGAAGCCCAACCAGTCACAGGAAGAGTATCATACACGCTTGCAGAGCGGTCGGTAAGACAGTCTCCGTCCAGGGAGAAGAAAAACCTGTAGAATTTACTTTGTTTCAAGGGGAAAAAGCACGCCTCTGTTATGAAAAACTCACAGCCACGTAACCACCTCTGTCTTCAGTGTCCTGGAGTTCTGCTGTCACGTGGTCACTGTATAAGGCTGAGCAGACCCACCGATGTGAACAGGGATTTCCCCCTCCAGACTGGGCTCATCTAAGTGTATCAGGTGAACCTGGACGGGGGTCTCCCAGCCGAGGGTCCTCCTCTGTGCGCCCCTTGGCACGCAGCCAGGCCACGGAGCCACCGAGAGCCCACGTGACGCCAGCCTGGACAACCAGGAGGGCAGCGCGGTGGGTCACACAGGCTGTGTCTGAGACCACGCTGACCACTGGCAGCAGAGACCCTGGCTTAAATGGCGTTTGAAGCCTTTTCGCTGATATCTGCATTAGCAGGTCGGCCCTGAGGCCGCTGAGCCCGAGTACATCAGACAAGGTTAATAATTAAAACCGTCTCGAGAGGGTGCCAGCCTCGGGGAGCCAGCATGGATAAGGCTGCAGCTTGTGGCAGCCAGCACCCTGAATCTGAATAGCAAAGGGTCCCAAGGGGGCACGGGGGGGTTGGCCTACGGGATCTGGGCTTTGCCCAAATTAGAGCCCAATCCTGCCGATTCTCTGAGTGGCGGGAGCCTGTCCCACCAGGGGCGGCCAGTGCGGCGGTGACGCTCCTGCAGGGACTGTGGGATCGGGGCTTCCCCAGGGCCATGCTGGTGTCCAGGAGCCGGTGCCCCGTGCAGCCTGACAGCGGCCAGCTCCGTAAAGAGTCGGACGGCCCCTTCGCAGAAAGGCTGATCTTCACAATCTAACTTCCACGAGAGCGGCACCTCGAGTGCAACGGCCTCTGTGGCCACGGGGCGGCCTTCACCCCTTTCCTTGTTCCTGGGCGAGGGTCCCTGTGCAGCGATGACAGGACCACAGGTCCCGCAGGCCACAGTTGTGACCACTGGGCCTTTATTTCCCCCCCCGAAATCAAACCCAGACTGGCCCAAAGCAAACACGCCAACGTCAGGAAGGAGGGACTTCGATTTTTGGAGGCAAAGGTATTAAAAACGCTCATTTCAGGTTCCCGACTTACCCTCTGGTGAGGAGGGGGAGGCGGGGGTGCGGGAGAGCCCATCAAGTCCTGGCTGTCCATGAGATTCCCGTAGTCCGCCATGCCGCCCTTCAGAGGCAGAGGGGGTGGGACCTCGGCCACGTCCATCCCGGCCACGGCCATGCCATTCAGCTCCAAACCTGAGAACCGGACAGATGTGCACTCAAACCATGTTCCCACTGGGAGTGAACACACACAGCTGCTTCTCAGTCTCCGGAGCAGCAGGGAGGCAGACACTCGATCCCTCAGAAAAGCTTGTCAGCAGGGCAGCAGGGAGGGCAGGAAGGGGTAGACGAGGCAGAGGGTGGGGTCCCCTGCTACGGGCATGTTCTGGAAAGGGAACATCAGGTACTTGGTGGGTACTTTAAAACGCAAGCGGTTGTCAGCAAGAGAGGTCGTCAGAGAGCTTGAACCCACCATAAAAACAGTCATGTCACCCCGAGACCTTTCCAATCCCTCCCCAGGTCCCTCTGCCTCCAGCTGGGTCAGGAAGGCGGTCTCCACCTGCCTTGGCGAAGGATGCTGTGCCCAGCCCTCCAGGGGAGTACCTGGACAGCACCACCAAGCAAGGACTCACGCTGCGGCACAGCCGGCCGCTCAGCGACTGTAGGAAACGGAGTCATTAGCAGCTGCGGCCCCGTGGAGGCTGCTTTCCGTGAGCCAGGGGGAAGTGTGATCGATTTTTACAGTAAATGGAAAAAGTCGCGGTTTGCAAACGGGGAGACGATCGTTAAGACGGCATATGCTCAGCCCTTGTTGAGACTCTGGGAAGTAATTTGTGTTTCTTTTGTGTTAAAGAGAGGAAAATTGACATTTTTGCTGACAGGTCTCTTTACCGGTTTCCCGATGACCCAGCTGATGACAAAGTCCTTCATTAGGACAAGTCTTCCGAGGAGAGTCGTGTCTCCGTGGGCGGGAAGCCTGCTGTGGCGTGGAGGGGAGCAAGGAGACGGCCCCAGAGGGAGCGGGTGGCGCACTGCGCAGAGCGCACACGGCACAAAACTGGCCGTCGTGAGTGTGCAAACCAGTGGCATCCGTCACATTCATAATAATGTGCACCCATCACAACTATCTGTTTCCAAAACGCATCGCCCCCAACACAGTCTCCACCCCATAAGGCGCCCACCCCACCCCCTCCCCCAGCACACGGCACTGAGGGCCTGGATGGCTCCGCACGTTCCTCCCAGGCAACTCGGAAGCCCGGGACTGAGCTTTGGCTGATGTGCTGATGTCCTGAGGGACAGTGCCAGCAAGCCAGGTGCTCAGAGACTGTCTGCTGCGTCGGGAGGAGGTGGGTCTAACTGTAGCGGCTTCAGCCAAGGGGGTGAGGCACAGGGCATGGCGTGCGCAAATGCGGAGAAGGTCCCACTTACTGGACTGCACACTGAAGCTGAGCTTGGTCCGTGGCATGACGGGAGGGGGTGTCTGCTGGGCGGGCGGTGACGACGGGGACACTGAGAAGCGCCTCTCACTTCCAATGACGTTGATCACCTGGCTCTTCGGCCTCTGGGGCCGCAAGGGACTTATCTACACGGAGGGACAGAGAGAGCAGAGTTAGGGTCTGTCAGGCTGTGTGCCACCTCCAAATTCATATGGAGTCCTGACCCCAGTGCCCACCAAGGTGACCTTACCTGAAAAAGGGATCTCTGCAGATGATCAAGTTAAGATGAGGTCATTAGGGTGAACCCAATATGACTGATGTGCTTATGAAAGGGGGATTTTGCCACAGACACACGGGGGAGGGGTTGGGTGATGCTTCTAGGAGCGGACGAGCACCAGTGATGGCAGTAGAGCCCAGAAGCTGGGGGGGGGGGGCACAAACACACTCTCCCTCACAGACGTCAGGAGGAGCCCCCCCGAGGACATCTGGACCTCGACCTCAACCTCCTCCCAACTGTGAGATGATAGTTTCTGCTGGGTAAGCCCCCAGGTTTTGGTGCTTTGTTGCAAACATTTGTTACATTGGGAAGTTTATTTATATTTTCTTACAAGGTGGCCTCTAGTTACTCTGAGCTAGGAGCAATTCGACATGTTGTTAACTAGCCGAAAAGGAGGGATTCAGATCCCCAGGAAGGGGAGGCGGGCGGGCGCACACCCTCTCGGGTCTGCAAAGGCTCCGGAGGCTGGAAGGAGGGCAGGAACGTTTGAACCCCTTGGCAAACGGGGTGGTTGAGGGGACACGGCAACAGGCTGACTTCTAGACCGGGTGCACCTTCCCGGGCAAACCCACGTGGGAGGCCTGAGAGGCCTGGGCGAGCTCTGGGCTCCTTGGGTGGCAGGTCATGAAATCGTTAATGACGCAAACCACGGAGGCAGCTGACCCCCCCTGGAGGGACCAGAGGGAAGCTGTGCAGAAGCTCAGGGGCTCGGGCAGTGGCAGCCCCAGAGGGCCCGGGAGACACTGGGGCGCTGGCGTGGCCTCAGGGAGAGGGCGGCGGCTTCTGCTCCCGCCAACCTCAGGGCAGGGCAGGTGGCCAGTCAAAGGCACCCTGAGGCTTACACTGCACCTGCAGATGCTGAACGACTCACAGACCTTGCTGGCACCTGGCACCTGCGGGAGAGGCCGCTCTGGACAGGTAACCAGGCTGGACCAAGAATGGTCCGCTCCAGCGAGAGATGCGGAGGGAGTCCTGGCTCCGAGCTGCAGCCGTGGTCACTCTGAGAGTCATCAGAGGTCACAGGAGGGTCAAGGTTCTGGGCTGACCTTGGCCTGTTCTGCGGATTTGCTGAGAGACTTTGGGCCAGCCGGGGGAGGCCCACTTGGTGCTGAACTCAGCCCGCCTTTGACGGCATCCTTGCAGGAAACGGCCACCGTGGGGAGGGACAGACTGCTGCTGTGACAGCCAAGTGCCTGCTACGCCCTGAGTTCTCGTCACACAACTGAACGGTGACCCACTCTGCCTGCGGGCTCGGCTTCTAGGCCTCTGTTCTCACAGCCTCACAGGAGCCTACAGAGAACCACAGGGAAGACTTGGAGTGTCCGGCCCTCGGTCAAGTCACCTGGTTCCGTTAGCGCCCCAGCCAGTGACGAGGGCGTGAGTGTGAGGGCGCTGCCCTGGCCGAGACGTTGGCCAGGCCCGGACGGGTCGAATAGCGGTGGAGAATGTGGGCTGATTCACCGGCAACTTCTCAGCCTTACCACAGGGCCCAGGCCCGCACTGGCCAGTCCCTCCCGGGGCCCCGACACGCTGGGCCGCCGCTTGCCGCAATGAGCAGCCCAGCCCAGCGGCGGTCAGAGCGGTGTCCACAGGCCACCGTGGCTCTCGGGTCTGCCTTCTGCCTTCAGACAGCCAAGGACATGTGGCTGTAGGTCTGAGCAGCCGGCAGCCTGGATGACACGTGCCCTCCACTGTTCAAGGTACAGAAAACCACGACGTTTGTCTTATGAAAAGGGGGTCCCATCTGAGCCCTTCGACGAAGCAACACCTCGGCCCAGCCAGGACGGGTCATGGGCATTCCTGGCCACTGTACAGACAAATGCTCTTCTGTCCTGTCCTGAGCGATGGGCGGGGCTCTAAGCCTGGCTTGACCTTTGCCACTGACAGCCTGTGCCGGCGTCTTCCCTACGGAGTTTCCAGCCTCCAAACAGCATTTTCGGAGTCGAGTCACCCCTGAAGCTGTCCGCGCCTCATTTTGCCCACAGGCTGTTAACACTGAGCTCCGGGGAGCAGCAGCCCCCAGGCTCAGCCCAGGCTCCTGTGCTGCATCGCGCGGGGGACCCAGGAATGAGTGGGATTCCCTGAGACCCGTTTCTAACGTCAACCAACCAGCACGGGCCATGTTGTCTGGAAAGACGGCCAGGAGACGCGAGCGTGGGGGAGGGGAGGCCTGGGAGACAAGGGCTGTGTGCGGGCGGGGCGGGAAGGGCGGGCACCCTCGCTGGGCGCTAGGGCACTGGGCCACCTGAGGCGGAGGGTTCTGGCCAGGAGGGCCAGGGAAAGGCACGCGAGGTGCGGTTTTCTGACATCAGAGCGTTCTTGTTCGCCCACGGAGACGTCAGGATGCCCGAGAACATGGGGGTGCTGCTCGAACCCCTCGGGATGCAGGGCGGTGCAAGTTAGACCAGAGGAGGGTGGAGGGAGCCCTGGATCTTCGTGTGACAGCCCCTCTGGCTAAATGCCGAGCAAAGGAGGGTCCCAGCCGTGCCACAGAGGGGGGTCCCCTGGGAATTACCGTTTCTGAGAGGATCACAGCCTCAGACAGCTGCGGGGCCGCGTCCGCGGGTTTAAATTCCTTATCGAATATCTCCTGGTGCCTGCTGTTCCTCTTCTCCTTCTTCTTGTCCTTCTTCTCCTTCTCGGGGTCGTCCTTGTCCAGCTTGTCCTGGGACCTCGAGTGCATTTTCTTTGGCAGGAGGGGCTCCAGGGCAAACCTAAAGGAAATGGTTGTTTAAGTCATCGGCCTCTTGCCCTGGCCGGTGTGGCTCAGTGGACTGAGCATCATCCCAGGCACCACGAGGTCATGGGTTCAATTCCTAGTCAGGCACATGCCCTGGTTGTGGGCTCGATCCCCGGTTAGGGGGTACAGAAGGCAGCCGACTGATGTTTCTCTCTCTTTCACTCTCCTCCCTCTGTCTCTAAAATCAATAAAACCTATTTTAAAAACGGAAATAAATCACGGGCTCTCCACCCTGCAGTCATGTGTCAAGTCACTCTCGGAAAACCCACGTGCTGCCCGGAACCGCTGAATTCTACAGGAAAGGATGATTTGAAAAGGGGTTGGAAGGAAACCTGAGATACATATTAACCAACTGCGACGGATGGACTGAGTTTGCCCCTGGGAAAGAACAAACGGAAAAACCCACGGCTGCAGGACGGTGGAAACACGAGTCTTCAGGGGTGTCTGCTGACCTGTGAAGGGGGGTGGTACTGGGTGTAGAGGCTCGTGCTGATGCAGACCCTTCTGGTGTGGCGATCCGACCAGGTCTGCGTCCAGCTTAGACTGAAGATAAGCAGGTGGCGCCCACTGCAGCCCTTTGTGTGGCCCTGCTCACAGGTACAGAGGTGCCCTCAGGGGTTCAGCCGAGCACTGAGTTACAGACAGAGGGCTCTGCCGCCTGCTGGTCAGTCTCCCCTCCTCTATCAGCTGTGGGCTGGACGTCCCAGTCACAGGATGAAGTGAGGACACCGCCACCTCTGGGCACGTGGTGTAAAAACACGTTAACGGTCAACCCACTGAGCAAATGGATCTGGAACTCATTTCTAAGGCGCGTGTCAAAGCTGGGCACACACACACGCCCGCACACGCTGTGGTCCGCTGTTTCCGTGTAAGACTGGAGGGCACCCTCCTTCTGTCCCCGTCAGTCGTACGAGGAGACGGGACTCCCATTCTGTGCCGCCGGAAGGGGGCGGGAGGTGGGGCCGGTGTGCGCGAAGGGACGACAATGGCTTTGAAGTCTTGCTGCGTCAGCTCCCACGTGAGGCATTTCATTATGAGGGTCTTGTGTTTCTTAAAACACAGCCCATGAAAATGGCATTTCACGAGAGAGGTGGTTTCGTAAAAGGAGTTCCAGCCATACAGCCATAGAGGGGAAACAGCCTGTACTGTGATTTCTGATGAATGTCTTCGGGGCTGTGGGCTACCCATCATTTCCACGTGATGGAAAGAAACAAAATTCAGAGCTGCCTGCCCAGGGCCCGGCAGTCCCCAAGCCTGGTGGTAGACAAACCCGTCCCCACCGTCCGGGCTGTGGGGACGGAGCTGGCCAGAGCCTGTCCTCGGATCTCTCGGTCCTCACAAGGACCTGCGGAGCCTGCCCTCCTGGAGAATACGATGGCTTCCTAAGGGGACTCAGAAAGGCAGTTCGATTTCATCCTAGCGGTGGCTTCCTGTAACCCCGTTTGTGAAAGGAGCCTTAGGAACAAATCCACTGCTCTGGTTCAGAAGGCCAGCCCAGCCACCTTTACGACGTGGGGCAGGCAACAGTGGAAACCCCCACTCGGGTGACTGTTCGCACAACCGAACTGCAAATGCACCGCGGACCCGGATGCTGAGAGCAGGAGCCTCCTCTCCGACGGTGTCTCCCCGGGGGGACTGGAGGCGGGCCGGACGAGCCGGGAAGGCCGCTACCATTCGAACCGCAGTGGTGCCGAGTGTAGGCGCTGATTACCAACAGCTGCTAACACCACCGGAGCAGGCACGGGGAGACATGATGACCCTCTGCATGAAAGAACCTATGAAGTCATCCTGTCCCCACATCGCACCTGGATCTGATCAAGCCTCTAGATGCCTCTACCCATCTGCTGGGAACACTCAGGACAGAGAGACACCCGCCAGACCACACCGTAGGGGGGGCAACCAGCAAGATTTGGGCTACAGGATAAGCAGCCTAGATTTCTCAAGAAATAAATTGCAAGAAAAAAATGTAGAGGGAGAAACCTATTGATTTAAGGAGAATTAAGCCCGGGCCAGTTTGGCTCAGCAGATAAGAGTGTCGGCCTGTGGATCGAAGGGTCTTGGGTTTGATTCTGGTCAAGGGCATGTACCTGGGTTGCAGGTTCGATCCCTGGGCCCTGTCAGGGGGCAACCATTGATGTGTCTCTCTCACATTCATGTTTCTCTCTGTCTCTCTGCCTTCCTCCCTCCCACTCCATCTAAAAAGCAATGAAAAAATATCCTCCTGTGAGGATTAACACAAAACAAACAAAAAAGAGAATTAAAAAGATACATCAATCAAGTGCAAGATGAGAATCTTCTATGGATCAATTTCAAACAAATCGACTTAAAACTATGACATTTATAGCACAATTAGAAAGTAAGATCAGTATTTGATGATACTATGAAATGAATGTTACTTTTTTACGTGGGCTAAATGGTGGTTGTTTTTAACTTCTTAGCCTTTAGAAATTCACACTGAAATATTTGTGGATGAAAAGACACGAAGTTTCAGATTTGCTTCAAAATCATGTGGGGGAGGGAGGAAGCGTGGTCCAGGCTGAAACAGACTGGCGAGGGGCTGATGATGACAGAGGCTGGCTCCTGGGCTCAGGCCCCATTGAAATATCTTGTCCACGTTGTATGTGACCGAAACTTGTCCACAATAGAAACTTAAAGATGACTGATGAAATCCACCAGCGTGGATTTCGACCACCAAGGCATTCTGGGACCCCCAGGCTTCTCCAGCTGAATTCACATGAACCGGTAAGTCCACATCCATGATGTGGTAGATACTGTGTCTAGGATATTATAAGCGATAATCAAAATATTCATGACTTTCTTCTAGGTCCTGGAGAACCTGAGACACCGAATGGAGGGAAAAGGATCAGGGGGTGTTGGCTCAGAGGAAGACGCGTCCTGGGAAGAACAGACACGTATACCAAGAACCATGAGAAAGACAGGTTCCGTTTTAGATTTTTCGCCCGTGAGAAGTAACTGCCGACAGGATATCCTTCATCCCGCAGGTGGCCCGGGCCCTGTGAGACCACAGCCTCATTTCCCCCCATCAGTTACAGAGCAAGGGGGGGGGAACCCTGGGGAAGAACAACAACCTGGACTCTCCCAAAGGTCCTCCAGCTCAAGGTTCAACCAAGGCCGCCCAGGAGAAGGCAATGATGCTCAGGTGCTCACACGCGCCACACGTCGCGATTCTGGCCAAACCCCCAGGGCGACGTCCACCCTCATCCCTACATCCCGGGAAATATCAGGCCTTGTCATAACCAGCCTGGCGATTTTCGTGGGGAGAAGCTGAATTCAATTTCTTTAGCAATCTCGTGCCACGGGACAAGCACACACGCTTCGAGTACCTCTGAGCTGAGAATGTCCAGATGGACCTGGCCTTGCAAAGACCAGGCGCTGAGAACAGCCGCTGCTAAGAAAAAAACGTGGCTGTTGCTTTCAGTTCTGCCCGGTGACGTCAGCCGTGGACAAGAAAGGAGGTGCTGAGGGTTTGTGTCTGCACGTTGGGGTCCATGCACTGCAGGGACGGGGGCCTGCGGGTCGAGAGGGTGACGGACTGCTGACCAGATGGGGCTGGACGAGCACATGACTGTGCACACCCGACAGCGACACCATGAGAAGCTCTTCGCTGGTGGTTCAACCGCACGCACTGCTTCTTTTTGGATAAGAAGAGCAAACGTTACATGTTTGCTTCTCAAAAGCGCAGAGCATGTCAACGGGGAGGATCTCTGAGCTCTCCGAGGTAACTGGAGAGACAGCCTGGAAGTGAGCCAGAGATGGGGTCCACGCACAGTGGGTGGGGACCGCACGCTCCCTGGGGTGTGAGAATCGACGGGAACCATCCCCAGAGTGGTACCCAAAGTGCGAACTTCTTTCTCAGAGACTCACAAGACCCTGAAAGTCTTCCCGGGCACTATGCTCGTCAAGTTCGGAGGGTATCCGTTTCAAAGACCGTTTTGATTTAAAAAAAATTGTTTTTCCTTTATTAATTTGAGAGAGAGAAGAAGTGAGAGGGAGAGAGAGATAGAAACATTGATGAGAGAGAACATTGACGGGTTGCCCCCCACTGGGGATTTGGCCCACGACCTGGGCATGTGTCCTGACCGGGAATGGTGACCTCTTGGTGCCTGGGTCGATGCTCAACCACTGAGCCACACCTGGCTGGACCCATTCTGATTTTTTGAAAATCTTCTCAGCTGTGATAAAACCAACCCAGGGCCCTGGGTGGCTCCTCCCAGTGCCCCCCCCCCCCCCCAAGCTCTCTCTCCCTGCAGCCGAGTCCCACTCACCCATCAGAGCCCGGCCTGGAAGGGGTGCTGTCTGATGACAGGGAGGAGACAGAGGCCACCGACAGAGGCCGGGATGCGGACGGCATGGTGAAGGATCGCACCATGGACCGGGGACGGCTGCCTCGTCTGTCATCCAGGCTTGAGGGCTGCAGGGGAGACAGGGAGGGACCGAGAGAAAGGGGCTTGTTAGATGTTTGTCCCAGAAAACTTCCAGTCTTGGGACCACACGGTCTTAACAGCCTGGACTCCAGACCAACACTGTTATAAACAGCACACGTTCCTGTTTGGAGTCAAAGCTGAAAATGATCATTTGGTTTTTTTTTTTTGAAACCTGACCCGTTCTTGTGAAAAACTCTTTTTGGCTTTACACAAGTTTACATGCTGTTTTCTTGACCAAGACCACAGTGCACCAGCCTTTTCCAAAGTCACAGGAGGGCCAGAGAACCGGACGTCCACAGTGACGTCCAGAAAGGGGTGAGAGAGTCTGCAGGGTCTTCGGGTGAACTCTGTACCCGGGCACATCGATGAACCGTGCAGACCACAGACTGGATGGCTGAGCTTCCGTGGACTGAAACCCGACGCCCCTGCTCGTCCTCCCTGCGGGGAAGTGCCGTGGATTCGGTGGCGCCACGTGGGGCTGCCCTCCTGCTCCACCTCCTCGCCCGCTGGTGGCCAGTGATGCATCTTCCCATACAAATGGTCTCCGGACGGAATTTTCCATCCTCCTTGACATATTGTCGCAGATCACTGAAAAACTGTCCCTGAAATATACCCTGTGTCAGCCTCTAATTAGCTAGGAAATGCTACTGCACCTGCACCCGAACCAGATGTTGGCACATCTGGGGCCACAGCTGCTGCAGAAGCTCCTATCTTTGGCTGGAGGGTGTGGAAACCCCGTTCTGGGAGGGCACGTGCTCTCTGAGGCTTCGGCTGCACCCCCATCCCCAGGCCGACTGTTTGGGACCCTCGCTGATTAGATCACATGTCACCACTTCCACATCTTAAAAGTGGGCCCATTTCAAAACATGTGTTTTGCACACGAAATACAATTTGATTTGCGCGCTATCTCTTTAATAAGAAAAGGTTCAAAACTGCAAAAGAACCGTTTAAAGGAGGGGTCTGTAAGCTTTTCTGCAAAGGGCCAATCTGTGCTGCGGGCTTGCGGCCACGAAGGGGCTGCTCCGCTGCTCAGCTCCGCTGCGGTAGCCTGGGGGCCGTCACACACAGGACCGCAGCGAGTGAGCGTGACTGCTTGCCAATAAAACTTTATCAACAAAGATGGGGGCGGCCGCAGGCTGCCCACCGCCGGTTCAGAGCAATATGCCGCTGGGCTCTGGCGGCAGGGAGGGTCTGCCCGGCTTGGGTTTAGCACCAATAACGGTGCCATTCCACGTGTCCCTGGAGACGTCCATTGTCATTAACAGGCCTTTATGAGAAAACTAAAAAGGAAACGGTGATTTGTAGACTAGTCCAAATTGTGAGCATGCTCCTTGGATAAAACCTACAGACTCTGAGCTACAACAGCCCCGTCGGCCTTTCGGAAACAATCCAAGGCCTGCTCTGCGGAGGGTCCTCCGCCCCAGGACCCTGGGGTCTGCTTCTCATGCCTGCAGCACGAGGAGGAGCTGAGCTCCTGCGCTTCCATCCAGGGAACGGGCTCCGTACAGCCCAGGACCGTGGGACGGAGGCCAGGCCCAGCCAGCCCGAGGGTGCCCGTGGCTTAAGGAGTCAGAGGTGCTCTGAGGAGGGGTCTGGCCTCACCCCCAAGCTGCTGAGACATGGCTCACAAAGACCGTCTCACGCCCGCCACAGGGCCTAAGCGACCAGGTGTTTCTGCATCATCCTAAGTCCCAAGCTGCTCTCTCATCTGGCTCCTGACGAGGCCCTGCTCAGAAACCTGGCACGAACTCTTAGCAGAAGCCCAGTGCTGCCCTTCACCCCAGGGAAGCCTTCTGCCCCGCACTGGCGTGCTAGGCTCTTGGTGGTCAGGCACCTTCCAACTTCCTCGGACTCTCTGCCCAAGGCCCGGCTGCGTCTGCAGGGGCCCTGGCCTGCCCTTCATCCCGCCTGCAGCCTTTGCGAGTGAGGCCTCTCCCTAGGCGGCGTGCGCCCATCTCTCCCCAACCACCCCCGACTCACCCCTCTTGGCCTAGACCAGTGACCACTTCCTCCAGCAGCTAATCCTCGCCAACCTCAGACCTCAGAAACCCATCACTGCTCCGCCTGTGGCTTTGACCTTGGGTTGGGCACAGGCTCATCTCTGACTTGGGGCTCCGTGGAAGCCCCAGCCCTGTGCTATTTGATCAACCCTCTGTATGTTCTGTGAGATTTACTTCTCTGTTGCTCCAGCACACTGAGGGTCGCCGGTGACCAAGCCACTTCAGGAACACTGACTCACCCTGCCATTTCCAATCACCGCAGGAGGTGGCTGGTGTGCTGGCAGACGGACTGACAGAGGGGCTGAGGTCCCTGACACCCCCGCTCCCTAAGCAGGCGTCCCGTACACGTCTCCGTTACTGTGAAACCCTGAGCCCTCCCTCCTGCCCCACTTCTGCGACGAGACCCCTCACCATGGTCCGGACGCCGTACTGCTTCTCCACCTTCTCCTTGAGCTGTCGGAAGCAGGTTTCCATCCTCTCGTGGAACGGCCTCAGCGCCTCGGTGATTTTCTCCCCATGGATCCGGATCCCTTCGGCCAAAAATGGAATCTGCAAAACAAACAGGCCGACCCTCCTCATGTCCCGGGTCGAGGTCCGGGGGGAGGCAGTGGCCGTCACTGGGCATCTGCTTTGGCACCCACACCAGACTGGCTGATTCAATGCGTCAGCAGGCTCATTGCCCCAAAGCCCAAACCGTTGACATTAAAATCATTTGTGCTTTGAACTGGACACGTCTGGGGCGGCGCTCAGCCCGGCCCACGCCTGCCCCTCTTGGACTTGGCCGGACTCATCTGTCAGCCCGGACAGACTTACCTGCGCTTTTCACTTGAGTTCGGGAAAAGCTGACTTTTGAATTTGTTGAGGTGTAACTTGATCTGTTAGCCACGGGTCATGTCACAGTGCAAAGATTTTTTTTTTTTTTAGCTAAGAAATTGCCTTTATAGGCCATTGAGAGCCCTATTCCCAAATGCAGAAATCTAATTACATGTGATCTGCGGTCCCGACGGCTATTCTTCTTTGGAAAGGAAGACCACATTTATTCTTTCGTACAACTAAAAATAATCTCTTCTCTGCCAACATTGCTGTCACAAAGTATCCACGCCAACACTTCACTTCCCAGTGTGGAGATGAAGCTGACCTTTGAAACTGTCACCAAGAGACATTTCATGCCCAGTCCTCGGGACCCTCCAGGGTCCCCGCAGTCGGGGAGGGCGTAAAGGCTCCTTTCTCTCCCGGCTTCTGCCTCCAACCCCCCCCCCCCACCCCTCCCGCTCGGACAGGGAGTGCGACACTCTTCAATGCAATCAAGCTAAGAGGCTTCCTCCTAATAACTTATAATTAAATCAACATACTGATTAGAAACAGATTTTCCGAATATAACAGGACACCAACCTCAATGAGCAGATTTATAAGAAGGATAATAAGTACACAATTGGATTGCATGTGAACCAATTCAAGAATTCTTATCAAGATGAGTCGAGGCATAAGCTGTGTGGCTGCCGTTTACTGCAGGCAGCTGCGTCCTCTCCCGCTGCTCCAGGGACGGGATGGGAGGCGTGCTCCCCGAGTTCACAGCCCGCTGGCCTGCCCTCGGCGGCACCCACACGCCCGGGGTACACGCCAGGCATCCCCTTCCCGCCAGTTGCCGCCGAAAGGACAGTGTGCAGGAGAGGTTCTGAGCCAGCTGGGACTCTTTAATATTCTGCAGGAATTACTCTTGCAGATGGCACGTCCCTGGGGCTGGCTGTGGTTTGTTCGGGTTCAACAGCAGAGGATGCTCACAGTAAGCTCTCTGCCTCCCAAGTCCCGCCTTGGGGGCCGGCAGCCTGGGGACAGCGTTTGGTGGGATGGTGACCGTGGTGTGTCCACGGGGGCGCAAAGGCAGGGATGGGGGTGCGCTCTGGAGGTTAAAGCACAGCTGCCCTGGATACTAAAAGCATTTCGGTGGCGAAGGGGACCTTTCTCGAATGTGCAAAATGCAATCTAATCATTCTGGTGCATTGCGTCGACTTGACAAAGCTCCGAATTGGGCAGATTCTGGGCACCAAAGACACTACTTGCTGGACCCAAGGTAAGACCGTGGGTTTCGGTCACTGGTACCACATGAAGTGCAATCTGGCAGGTGACGTGTATGGAGCATGCGAACCATCCCCTGGAGAGGTCCCGGACGTGGGTCCGAGGGAACCTTCTTCCAGGATGGGATGTGGCGGATCTATGTCTGCTTGGGGCTGAGCCGTGGCCGCGATCAACATACCCTCCGACTTACCAGGTGCTCAGCATACACGCAGGAGCCACGGAGCGAGGCCCGAAGTGGCCTGTGGGACCCTTCAGTTCCGCGGGTTCCAACCTGGCTGAGCATCACAACCCCTGGGGCAGCCTGCTGAGCCCCACCCCGAGTGCTGACCTGCTCTAGGACGGACCCCGGAATCTGCATGTCGAGAGCGTCCCAGAGCCCAGGGAGGGGAGAGGCGGCCTGGACTCCTTCACGCTGAGCAGGAACCTGCTCCACAGTGACGCCCTTCTAAAGGAGGCTGTCCTTGACGGCTGCCCCGTGTCCCCTGCAGACGGCGGGCCTGCCCACAGCACAGAGCATCTGGAAGTCCCGCCCAGCGCGCCAGGAGCCCCACCCCCGGCCACGCCGGCCACGCCTGCCGCCACGAGCCACGCCTGCCGCCACGAGCCACGCCTGCTGCCGCTGGGCAGGGTGAGTGAGTTGGCTCTTTCATTTTAAAAGAGAACTATGTAGCCCTGGCTGGTTTTCCCAGTGGTTAGAGCGTTGGTCTGCAGACGGAAGAGTCTCGAGTTCAATTCCCAGTCAGGGGCACACACCCCAGTTGCAGGTTCGATCCCTGGTTGGGGTCACGAGGGAGGCAGCCAGTTGATGTGTCTCTCTCACATCAATGTTTCTCTCTCTCTCCCTCCCACTCTATCTGAAAAAAACCACAAAAACAAGCAATGGGAAAATATTCTCAGGTGAGGATTAAAAGAATAACAATAAAAGAAAAACCTGGATACATCCCCGTGGGCGAGTATGAGTCTGTGTGGATTCGTCTTTGCACACCCGGCGGGATGCTCAGCAGGACAGCTGCTGTGGAGTCACTGAGCGGTGCCTTGGAGGAAGGGCCGGTGCTCGCTCGTGACCGCGGTGACAGCTGCAAACCCAGCCGAGGCCCGGCCCGTGCCGCCTGCACTGACTCCAGCCCCCACGGGGGAGGGGCAGGTCGGCACCGTCCTATCCCAGCCCTGGCAAAGCACAGCGGGAGCTGCCACTGGACAACCAGCCTTCACAAGCGATTTTAGGAGCCAGGATGTGCTCGCTGGATGTCAGTGTGGAAACTGCCAGGGGGTCCCGGGGACTCCCGAGGGGAAGCCTCCCACTCGCCGTGGAGTCTCAGGATAAACACCCCAAACCACACGCACTAACAAACCAAAACAAGACAGCGTTCTGATCACCCCAAACTCCCCTTTTTTAATGACTGCACGGCTCAATTACTGATAGGGAAACGTGTGGTTTTCAAAACATTGGCAAAGAAAAGCCAAGTCACAGGTACTGTGGGGAATATGTATTTTCAGCACTTTTGATTTAATGAAGTCGCTAGAAAACAGATGCCTTCTTCCCACTCTCCCGTGAGCTGCTTCAAAATTCATCCTTTAATGTGTTATTAGGGCAATGACAAAGTCCTCTCTGGGGAACAAATTATTTTTCTCTGTAGGACTTGAAACTCTTAAAATCCAATTTGCTGTTAAAGCTTACAGGGGAAAAAAAAATCAATAGGACTTTTGCAGACCGAACTAGTTTTTGTGCAATGGCTTTATAGCCTTCAGGAGTTTGGAATTGTGGACCCTTTGGTTTCTACAACATCTAAATTGGAATCATTCAGACATTTAAACGCTCTCCCTCTTCTTTAGTCACAGGGTGACTGCCGATGGGGCTGGCTTCCATCCCCGGCAGTTCGGCCGATGAGGTCCCGTGGAGTCATCCCCAGTGTGGTCAGAATTAATTCCAAGCCAAACAGATGTCCGATGCATATGGATTCGTGGTAAAGTCACTCCCCTTAGGATGGTTGTTACAAAACACGCACGCGAAACCCAAGTGGAAAGTAACAAGTGCTGACGCGACGTGGAGAAACGGGAACCCTGGCTCATCCCTGCGGGCGGATCACCAAATAGAGCACCCGCTGTGGAAACAGGCCGGTGGGCCTTCAAACAACTAAAAATAGCCTGTGGCTCCATGGTTGTGCGTCAACCCAGGCACCAAGAGGTCGCCGGTTCGATCCCCAGTCAGGGCACATGCCCAGGCTGTGGGCCAGACGCCCAGTGGGGAGCATGCAGGAGGCGGCCAGTCGATGATCTCTCTCATCGATGTTTCTCTCTCTCTCTCTCCCTCTAAAATCAATAAAAAAAGGAATTAAAAAATAAAACAATTAAAAATATAACTAGCAGGTCAACCAGCATCCCACGTCTGGGTGTGTACCCCAAACAGGTGAAAGCAGGGAGTCGAACAGGTGTCTGTACACCGTGTTCCCAGCTGCATTATTTACAACAGGCGAAAGGTGGGAACCACCCGTCTGTCCGTGAATGAATGAATCAACAAATGCGGTTGATTTTATGGAATATTACTCAGCCTTAATAAGGAAGAAAATTCTGACGTGTCAGAACACAGATGAACCTTGAAGACATAATGCCAAGAGGAACGAGCCAGTCACCAAAGGACAAATGCCGTCTGGTTCCACCTCCAGGAGGCTCCTAGAGCAGAGGAATTCACAGGGACGGGACGTGGAAGGTGGGTGCCAGGGGCAGAGAGAAGGGAGAGCTATTTAATGGGGACAGAGTTTCAGTGTCGCAAGATGAACAGTCCCAGAGATGGATGGTGGTGGTGGCTACATGTGTGAATGTGGACAACGCCGCTGAGCTGACCATGTAATGGCTGCAGTGATTCATTTCATGTCATGTAAATGTCACCACAATAAAATGAAAACTAAATCAAGGACGTGTAACTTGGCTTGAAACCAGAGCGGAGCCCACTGCCCCCTAGGAGGTCACACTCGGTGATGTGCGGATACTGAGAGGAAGGCACGCAGGTGAGGCTCCGGGTGACCAGGATAGAGGGTCCACAGACATGTCTCCCCAGGAAGAACCAACCGAGTCAGGGACCCCGGCTGAGACCCCGGCCGGTGTCAGCCTGAGACCCCGGCTTAGCAGGTGGCCTGGGGCACAACACCCAGCCCGGCCCAAAGGGTCCTGCCCTCCCATGAGCTCTCTTCACTCAGCCAGGTGTGTGGGTTCCCTCGGACAGCACCCCGCTCACCTCCCACGTGGGAAAACAGAGGAGGAAGTGAGTTGCCCAAAGTCGGCAGGGCTCCCATGACAACAGGGTCTTACGCCCCCTCACCCCCAGGCTCATAAAGGCTCCAGGACGCACAGATGCCTGAACAGGGGACTTTCCATCAAACACAAGACACCTTCTGGAGTCACCCATCCTCATAAGACTCCAGGGTCTCAAACACGAGTAGCAAAGCAAAATAATATACAGTATTGCAGCTAGGAAAACACAAACGAGGAACCCCAACCCTGAGCATAGCCAGGGAGAAAACAAGGGGTGGGTGCCCTGCAGGTTCCCCCCTGCACCACACACGCATGCACGCACACACATGCACACACAGAAAACAAGGGGTGAACGCCCTGCAGGCTCCCACCTGCACCACACATGCATGCATGCGTGCATGCACCACACACAGAAAACAAGGGGTGGACGCCCTGCAGGCTCCCACCTGCACCACACATGCATGCATGCATGCACACACACACAGAAATCAAGGGGCGAGCACCCTGCAGGTTCCCACCTGCACCACACATGCATGCACACACACAAATGCACACACATGTGTACATGCACACACAGAAAACAAGGGGTGGGCGCCCTGCAGATTGCCCTCTGCACCACACATGCATGCATGCACACACACACGCATGCACACAAAGGTGCACAACATCACCCCCACAGCATTACTGCATCCCTGAGTGCCTGTCCCAGGACAGGCTGGAGCTGGGTCCGGAGACCTGTGGTTCTGACCCTCCTTCTGTTGCCTAGTCTGTCAATACCAGACAGTTCCCAGCAGATGCTAAATTGATCAACAAGTGGGACCAGACTGGGCTCATTTTCAAGAGAGTACTTTCTGGGTGTTCAAAGGCCTGGTTGCAGCCTGGAGTTGAGTCAGGACAGAGAGGGGATTTACCGGGACAGACCCCACCATGTGCCTTGCGGCTGATGCCCACAGGGCTCGGTGCCGGCTGGCACGTGTGCTGAGGCAGCCCAGTGGGTCTGGGCCCAGACTCAGCTCCCCCCACTGCAGCCCCGTGAGGCTGTGCTGGGACATGTACCTGCCACGCGATCAGGTCCTTGAGCTTCTCGATCTTCTCCAGGGCTTCTGGGTGCTCCTGAAGGTACCGCTCTGTGAAGAAGGCCTGAGGACGACAGGGAGAGCCACTCAGCACACCCGCTCCCCCAACACGTGTGCACACCTGCTGGCCACAGGCCCGGGCCCAGGGCTGTGGGTGAAACAGACCACACCCTGCACCCGGGAGCGCACTGTCCTGGCTGGAGCCTTCCAGCACCCAGGGCAGAGAATCCGGTGAGGTCAGGCCATGGAGTGGACAGGCAGCCTGGGGGGTTCAGGGTGGCACCCCCGGGCCTGGGAACCCAGCCAAACCACAGCTGATCTGGAGGCTGTCTGCTGGGTGGCTGCTCCCCGGAGGCTCACCTAAAGGCAGCCCCCACAGAGTGTCACTTCTCTGTCCAGGACAACTAACCCTCCGTGGTGCCCACTCTGGGGCAGTGCCCCTCTGCCCCCAGTTCTCCTGCATCTAGACCAGAGGTCAGCTCGGCCGCTGTGTCAGAACAGACACACACAGGAAGTGATGAACGGCGGGGCCCCGTTCCAAACAGGATTTACGACAACGGGTGGACTGAGGTGCCAACGCCCGGTCCAGGCCACACCACTGTCCTTTGGCTCTGCCCATTCCTATGACGACACGTCCCGGGGAGACCAGCTGGCCCTCTCCACTGTGCCAGGCCCGGTGACGCTGTATCTTGTGGCCGTAATGATCCCAGGTCTCTTGAAAGCCACTGAAGGTCGCCACTCAGAGCCAACCTGGGTGGACAATGCCTGGGCCAGGCATGCCTGTGGTGAGCCTTGACCGTCTATGGCTCGTAGGGTCAGCTGGGCGCCCCTGGCCCGGCCGTGGCTCATCACCCTGAGGCTACTCAATGAAACCAGGGTAGTCACGGGGCACGGAGACAGGGTTTGGAGGTGGTCTGCCCCAGGACAGGGTTGTAAAGATAGAAGTGGCGTGTCACCTGCCTTTTCATAATTTGCAAAGCCACCCATGACGGCAGGGTCCACGATGCCGTTGAGGAGCATGGACAGGGGGTTGATGGGGAGGCTGGGGTCGTCCAGGTGCTGCTGCACCATGCTGTTCAGCTTGTCGTTGGTGAGCTGCATGGTCTCGATGGCGTTCTCCAGGGGGCTGATCTCCACCTGCCGGGAAGGAGAGACTCATGACATCAGGCCAGCTGCTTCTGCACCTGTGGCCGGGTCCCCAGCTGATGCTCCGGCTACGAGACCTCGCCAGGGGAGAAGCATTTCCGAGTGAGGACAGGCTTCCTATCCCCACGAACCTTTCTTCCCTACAAATTTTTGGGGCATGATCCCTGATTGGGCAGCCAGGCATTTCAGTATTGTGTGCACAGGTGTGGTCCTCATGTGCCAATCCCAAAGGAACAATGCCAGGCTGCCTAGTTCTGGTTGTGTGTGCACATGCAGGGGTGCACACATGTACACGTGTGCTTGCATGCACACATACATGTGCGGTTTATTGTGCGTGCACGTGCATGCACACACGTGTGCACACGTGTACACATGTAATCATCCCAGGAAAACACAGCCTGAGTGGTTCTTGAACACAATCTATCTATCTGCTTCACAAATGAGGTCTTTTCACCAAGGTCTTGTTTGCTCTTGTTGTAAAGAGGGTAAAGATTTTAGGGGAGTTTTGAGCTACCTGTCACTGTCCTGGAGGCAGGGTGAGGCACTGTGCAAGCCCCTGTACCTGTTTGTTCCCGAGGGGAGAGGGGCTGTGCCGTGGTCTCCACATAGGACCTCGTACCGTCCTATGAAAGAAGAGCTCCCCCCTCCCCAAGACAGGGAGGGAGGCTGTTACACTTCTCATCGGACCTCACAGACCTCATCTGCGCACCGGCCGCTGCTCGGTGAACCAAGCGTATGTCCTCTTCAGCTTTCCTTCCTTGGTCTCATGACCCTCTGCCCCATTTGCCTCAAGAAAGAATAGCTTCCTGTTTTTATCAAACCGACAGGTTAGCCACTGTGCCCACAGATGTCCTGCGGTGGATGTCCCTGGAGGCACACGGCAGGGGGCGGGGTGTCCCGAGGCTTCGGTCATGCCGTTCTGGGACCGTGCGAGGCAGAGCCACGTCCTCCAGGAGGCCAGCGGCTAAGCTCCGCCCTCTGGCATCCCTGCCAGCTCACAGAGGCCCCGAGTGCAAAGGGCTATGGGAAGAGGCTCATTAAGAGGCTTAGTGCCTGCTGATGTGAAGGGCCTCCTCTCCTGCTGTCTCGCACGACTGAGCCAGGGAGGCCAGCTCTCCGCCACTGATGTCCTGAGCGTCCCAGGTCAGGGCCAGCGGGGTGCTGTGGCCCCCGCCGGAGCCCCCAGAGCACAGTGACAGGCCCAAGGGGGGGCAGGCAAGGGGCCCGGCTTCAGAGCAGGAAGAGGGTCGCCTGGGATAGGGAGGGGGATGCGCTCAGGGGCGCAGACTGCTAAGGAGGAAGGACTCGGGAAGCAGGGAGAGAGGTCCCATGTTCCAGAGCCAAACCAGGGGTTGCCAAGGGGATTCCTTGCACCCCAAGGGGCAGGCAACACCCTCTGGATAGGATCCTGGATGGAGGCCAATGAACCACCAGCCCCGCTGCTGTGTATTCGCGGACAGCCGCGGCCCACTCGGGCTGCGTGTTCGCGGACAGCCGCGGCCCACTCGGGCTGCGTATTTGCGGACAGCCGCGGCCCACTCGGGCTGCGTATTCGCGGACAGCCGCGGCCCACTCGGGCTGCGTGTTAGCGGACAGCCGCGGCCCACTCGGGCTGCGTGTTCGCGGACAGCCGCGGCCCACTGGGGCTGCGTATTCGCGGACAGCCGCGGCCCACTCGGGCTGGGTGTTCGCGGACAGCCGCGGCCCACTCGGGCTGCGTGTTCGCGGAGAGCCGCGGCCCACTCGGGCTCTGTATTCGCGGACAGCCGCGGCCCACTCGGGCTGCGTATTTGCAGACAGTCGCGGCCACTCGGGCTGCGTATTTGCGGACAGCCGCGGCCACTGGGGCTGCGTGTTCGCGGACAGCCGCGGCCCACTGGGGCTGCGTGTTCGTGGACAGCCGCGGCCCACTGGGGCTGCGTGTTCGCGGACAGCCGCGGCCCACTCGGGCTGCGTGTTCGCGGACAGCCGCGGCCCACTCGGGCTGCGTGTTCGCGGACAGCCGCGGCCCACTCGGGCTCCCCGCAGAGCTGCTCCACCGCGCACCAGGGAGGCGCTGCAGGCTCAGCGAACCGCAGACCAGTCCTTCTTTAAGAAGGGCCTGGGAGGGGCACCTTAAGCTATTTTTACCTGAAATGAGCAAGTGCTATTAATCAAGTTGTTTGTCATGTAAATGAAATAGACCCGACAGGAAGAAAGCTCTGAGAAACTGTCTGTAAATTAAACCCGGTCTTCAACTTTTCATTTAGTTCAGCTGAAGGAGCTGTCGAGCAGCATGGATGACGGCTCTGGATACGGGGTGGGAAGGAAGGAGTCTCAGTTCTGGGCTTTTCACTCTCTGCCGGGCTGGGACCACGCCTCTCACTACACTATCCAAGGACCGGGAGGCCCGAGGCCCCGAGGAACAGGTGGGGTGATTTTGGGCTCAGTCTCGCCTGATCTGGGATCTGTGGTCCACACTCGGCCACAGGGACCCCACGGCACTTGGGGGGGAAGAGGGCGTGTCAGAGGCACGAGAGAGGTTCCTTCCAGGGGTGTCCTTACCATGAAAACAGACTTGACCTCAAACCACCTTAAAATTCCGGGTAACTTGTACGCAGTTGTGTAGATGGTCCTCTCTATCCACATGTTCTGCAAAGAGAACACAGACGCACCTGTTAGAGGATGTCAGTTGGTGATGGCGTCTGCCCTGCTGGGGATGCATGACCTGCAGGGACGGGCTCCAGAACAGGGCTCCTGCTGGGAGGAAGGACCCCCGGCGCCCCTGTGGTCCGAGGAGGACAGGCCTGCATTCAGGGACCTCGCAGACATGCTCTGCTTGACCGTCAGTCACCCGGGCACATCAGTGTCCCCTGCTTTCCTGCCAACGGTGCCCACTGGTGCTCCCTGCTATTTGGCAGAGAGGATGTAACTGGAGACTTGGGGAGAATTAGCTACATCGAAACGCGGGAGGTTCCCTCTGAGCAAATAGGCTCTGGGAGGCTGCCCTGAGTGTGGCCTTAGCCCACAGTCGTCAAGAGAAACGCAAAGGAGCCTGCAGGGGGCTCAGCGGCGGCAGTGTTGTCTACACCAAGAGGCTGCAGGTTCGATCTCCGGTTAGGGGCAAACCTAGGCTGTGGGCGTGATCTCTGGCCGCGGTGGGTACGGGAGGCAGCCAATCAATGCTTTTCTCTCTCTCCCTTCCTCTCTGAAAGTCAATAAAAACATATCCTCGGGTGAGGATTACAATAAAACAGAACTCAAAGGTACAATGCATTGAGGAGAACGGCTTCAGTAAAGTGACCTCCCACATAGTAATAAAATCAGCGTTTCAACCTGTAATTTTTTTCTATACCTAATAAATGTTTCCACTATAAAGTCAAGATATGGAAATAGAAAGGAGGAAAATCACCCACTACTCAGACATGGTCACTCACACATTTTGAATCTGTTCAGGGCTTCTTATTGAGCCTTAAAAAGTGTGTCGTTTCAGTAAAAATACCATTTGTAATCTGTATTTTTTGTAACACGGTGCATTGTATGGTGCAGGAAAATGTTTCCAGCCAATACATAGAACTGGACACGTCTCTTGAGGTTGCTCTGGGCTCCGTGTCGCAGGGTAGACCTTCACCACCTGTGTGCCGTGACCCTCCGGTGAGGGAGGCCGTGACCCTCTGGGTGATGGACACTGTGACCCTCCCAGCGGGGGTCGCCGTGACCCTCTGGCGAGGGTGCTCACTGAGTGGCTGGGTCTCAACAGCGCCCCTGACACAAGCACAGGGCGCAGTAGAACGTCCATGACCCCAGAAACCTGGGCTGACCTCAGCAAGCAGATTCCCAAACCTCCTCCATTGGGGAGGGAGGGGGGTGGGGGACGGGGCTAAAGCCTCTGGGACCCAGCACATAGGCCAAGGCCTCCTGTCCCGGGCCGATGCTCCTGTGCCCCTTCGGCAGCTCCCTGGGGCACTCGCACACTCAGCCCACACCCAATGCCCACACCCGATGCCCACACCCCCTGGGAGGGGCCTCTGTTTGCACCCAGGGCTCAGGGACAGCTCCGGCTACCTCGGGCCCCGTCTCTCCTCCTCCCGATGGCCCTAGGATCCCAGATCTTCCAGCTCCCTGTGAGGGGGTGAGGGGGTGACGGCTGAGCTGCTACCCTGAGCCCCCTGGGCTGCAGGACAGCTGTCCCGGTGCCCGCCTGCGAGGGCTTCTCTGCGCCCCCGGGCCTGGCCGAGGCTGTGTTCGCACGTGAAGGACTGAATCCGTGGCTTCAGAAACCCTCTGTGTGCTGAGGCCGGGCGGGCCATGGGGAGCTCGGGGCCACGTGGAGACATCGCAGCCTCGGAGGCTCAGGCAGCTCCACACGCCGGGAGTCTGGCTTCTGGGCTCTGCCCCCGTGGGCGGCCCGTGCGACCTCCTGGCATCTCTCTCATCAGCACAGAAGCACAGAGCTCCCAGATGGACAGGCATGAGGGGGATTCAAGAACTGCCCATTAACCTGCAGCTGGGAGACACCAGAAATAACGGCGTTGATGCCACAAGGCCACAGCAGGCAGGGACTGCTCAGAAAGCCACCGTCCTCCACGCTGCTGCCCAGGTCAGGCCTGTGCTGCTACTAGAGACAACGCCAGTCACCAGTCACCAAATAGGTCCAAGAAACAGGGTGCTCGTTTGAGACAATCAGTGTTGGAACTGGGGACGACTTCCGAATTCACCGACCCCCAGGTTCCTGTTAATGCACGAGGTACCCCGAGATCTGAAGACTGGAGGGCACTGGGGTCGTCCAGGAGGGTGACAGAGCCAGTCTCCTGGAAGTGTGCCCAGCTTCGCCGTGGGCCCGCAGCAAGGTGTTAATTCACCTTTGCCTTTCTGCTCGTCCAGGTGCCCCCAGCGACGCTGGTGTCCTCAGGGCTGATTCTCCCTGATATGTGCCTACCTAGGACATTCAGAGGAAGTTTGCAGGCAGGAAGAGAGAGAAAGAGTAACATTAAAAAAACACCTGTGCTCATTCCATGCTTTTGCAAAATGGAACCCACTCCCCCAGTTGTATGTGTATTTTTTAAAAGGGCACAAGGATCTATATTACGATGACTCGAATGCAGTCGCTTTGAGCAGGGGACAGACACCTGGCAGGGTGTGGCAACAGTTTCAACTGGTTGTCATGACTGCGGAGGTGCTACTGGCTTCTAGTGGGGAGAAGGGGGGACTCTGCTCCCCAGCCTACGATGCACAGGACGCCCCCACCCCACGGAGAATTTCCAGCCCATTACTCAGTCGTGCCAGCGGAAACCCTGCTCCAGTGCCCGCGTGGTACCCCGAGAAGGTCAGGCCCTGCCCCGCTCCCGAGTGCCTGCTGCCTGCAGAAACCAAGTGCTCAGCACCTCTCTGTGCCACTTCTTTTTCTTCTTTTTTTTTAAATGTTTTTACTAAATCTTTTTTTAGAGAGAGGAAGGGAGAGAGAAACAGAAATGTCCATGTGAGAGAGAAACAACCACCAGCTGCCTCCTGCACGCCCCCTCCTGGGGATCGAGCCCATAACCCAGACATGTACCCCAACCAGGAATCGAACCGGGACCTCTCAGTGCATGGACAGTGCTCCATCCACTGAGCCATTTCTAACAGACCCACCAGCACGTGTGCCAGGACCGGGACCCAGATGAAGAGCAACGCAGACACACCAGGAGGGAAACAGGTGTGAGCCCCAGACTCGGAAACACCTGCACAGCAACAGCCGCCTGTTGTCACACCCCCGGGGCTGGGCCGTGGCGCTGGCGAAGGGGCACGGTCACTAAGCCCGAGGGTGTCTGCAGCATCAGGATGTCCGCACATGCCGTGGATCCGCCTCACCGGGGCTGTGCTGGCCCCCTGGCCACATTCGTCCACGGGCAGTTTGGCTGGGGGTGGAATGAGCTTTAGGGGTGTTTTTATTTTTTTTTCTTACCGCAAATTCATTGTCTGGGTTTTTCTCTCCCTTGCGGATCGGCCGGGAATATTCGAATCGCTGGACCTCGTTCACCCTGTAAAAACTGAACAGAGACCGAGAAATCACTAGGTGTTTAACCCGAAAAGCAGTTGGTGTCCTTTCAGAGGTGAGGTCTTGCCTCCCGACAGGTCACCTATTCCTTGAAATAGCCCTAACCTTGACCCGCGGCGACAGCTTCGGACCGAGACCTTGGCGGGCGGGAAAATGAGCTCAGTTGGCCTCCTGCCTGTCCCCGCAAACTCGCGGGAGAACAGATGCTGAGTGACAAGACCCGAGCAGAAAGAGAGGTGAGGGGAAGCAGAGAGGAAAAGCCAGCACCCTCTCTTCCTACGTTTATGGAAAACGTAATGAATCACTTATTCATTTCATTTAGTCACCCAACAATTTATTAAAATATTTCAAGTTAATAATGTATTCCTTCAAAAATTAAAAAATTACGCCTTTCCTGTTTTGAAAGAGGTCTCACATGCTTTAGTTTCAGGGTGACCCGGATGGAACCAGCGTGCCCGCCCCGCTGGGGTGTCACTAGGCCGCTAGGGAGGCTGACTCCTCCCCCAGGACCACGGGAAGTATCTGAGCATATCCTATGGTTCACGATTCACTTCATGTCTCTGCGAAAAAACCGCTGCGAAACTCCAAATGCATGCCTGTGGGCACGGCCCTTCACCAAGAAGCGGAAGTCGGTTTATTTATCGCTGTTGCTGATAAAAGGTTAAAGAAACGATAGTGAATTTGGTGGAAGGACTCAACCCACCCACTTCAGGCTACAAGATAAGCAGACCCTGAGCATTTTTTTCCCCGAACAGAACATGAATCAGATGGAAAAGAAAAATTTTAACAGCAAAGAAGCCTGTGATGCAGGTGCTTCCACAGCACTGCTACGCCAGGCACAACCCACGGAGAGGCAGGCAGTCTCCCGCGAATTCAGATGGCTGACCCGTGCATTTTAAAATCCGTCCCCCACCCACGAGTCCTGGCTTCCTCCTCGTCCCTTTGCAGGGCCCTTGAATAGCGCAGGTTGGAACGGCACAGGTCCAGCCAAGGTGGATTTTTTCAGGAACTTCCTGTGACTGTTCCCTGCCCATGGTTGGGAGTCTGTGATGCAGAGGGCTGACTGTGCCCTGCCTGTGCCCTTTGATAGGGGACTCGAGCAGGGAGGTCCTGGAACCAATGCCCCGGAAGCCGAGGGACAACTGTTTTGGGGGAGTCAAAGTGATAAACAGATTTTCTGAGTGCATGGGGGTCAGCACCCCTAACCCGGGCGTGGTTCAAGGGTCAAGCAGACTTTCCTCACAGCACCTCACTTCCTTCTCGCTGCTGAAAATCTGCTTCCCTTTTTCTTCCAAGTGAACAGAAGGAGCATCTGGGAAGCTAAGCCGAGGCCAGACCCCAACATTGCCAAGGTCCAATCTCCAAAGGAGATGTGTCCACAGCCCTCCCACCCTCGTGCTGGACAGGAAAACGGGTGGATTACCTTACAATCTGCTCCGAGACGGGCCTGTAGAATTTGGGGGGCAAATCCAGCTTGGGCTTCACGGTGAAGCACTGGATATCTGCAGGTGACGAGGTCAAGGATCACAGGCGGGCACACGGATGCCACCGTGAGCGAGGACACCCAGCCCTCCCCACCAACGGCCTGGCGGCCTGGTCCCATTCTTTTTTTTTTTTTATCCTCACCCGAGGACATTTTTCCATTTTTTGTACAGATAGAGTGGGAGGGAGAGAGAGGAAGGGAGAGAGAGAAACATCGACGTGAAGGGACACATCGAGTGGCTGCCACCCGCACGACCAACCAGGGCCGGGGACAAACTGCAACCGAAGTACGTGCCCTTAGCGGGAACCGAACCCGGGTCTCTGTGCCGCAGGCCGACGCTCTAACCGCTGAGCCAAACCGGCCAGGGCTGGTCCCATTCTTTATGTCTTAAAGGATACACTGGCCGGGGGAGTTCTTAATCTCGTCGCCGGGTGGAGAAGTTGTCTTCATTTTCTCAGCATTTGGAAACTGAGTTAACAGCCGAGCCTCAAAATCTTCCCGGCGTTCGTACTCTTTCCCCCGGTAAATGAAAACTTTGCCCTGGAGACGGGGACACTCACTAAGTAACGGTAACCGGGCAAGGGAGCCAGGGTAGTTCCCACACGGGCCCGTGGCTCTTCGCCTGAAGAAACCGTCACTGCCCAGGGACACGTTCAGGAACCTGCACACGGGCCACTCCGGAGGACTGTGTCATCAGCCCCAAACTAGCATCACTGGTTCGGGTCGGGTGCCGCGGTCTTACCAGCACCAACCAATTTACAAAACCACGAAAAACCGAGGGCTTAGTCACAGCCCACCCTCCACTAGGCGTGAGACGGTCAGACAGGGAAATCCAGGCCCCAGGACAAGTGGACAATGGCGTCACATACACACGGGGGTCAGAGTAGGTGTGCAGGTGTGAGTGCATGAAACATAAGAGTTTATTCTTGTACCTCACTGATTAATTACCACATTTGCCACACGAACAACGGTAAGCCTCCTTTTGCCTCACCCTGTGGGGTTGGGGGGTGGAAGATGGACATTTTGTAACCTTATGTTAAGCACTCTCAACCTTGTGTTGGAATCCTAGAGGGTGGTGGGGGGTCAGGGAAGGGGGAACCGGCCCACCCCAGTGTGTTGGGTGCTTCATTTGCATGTGAATAAGGGTTTGTTATCTTTTGGCTTCAGGGTCTCTTCCTGTAAAAAGCAAGAGACAAAGCGAGGGTGACTGCTGTAGTGCCATCTCAAGGAAATAATTTACTTAAATCCACTTGTGACCTGGGGGTACCAATCTGCAAATCAATGGGACTGCGTCCAGAGAGCTGGAGCATTTGCTCCCTTGCAAAGCTCCCCCTCACTCCCAGCAGCGTGTGCTGGTAGTTTCTTTGTGTTGCACCGATCCCGGCAGGCCGAGAGACGGCATCACCCTGTATATACACATACTATTTTCTCCCGGTAGGAGTGACACTGTTGTCACCTCCACAAAGTCCACATTGGAGAGTCCCCTCTGGGGGTGGGGGGTAGCAGGCCTGCCCTCGCATTCTGCCTGGGTGTGACATGGCCACTCTGTAAACATCCATAAGGACAGTTCTGACTCCAAGGTATACCAGGTCTCTGCACCTTCACAGGTTCAACAAGTGCGCGCTGAGTGTCCACTGAGTCACAGAAAGGTTGCAGAAGCCCCCTGCCACCCCCACCCACCCTGCCCTCGTTTTAGAGCACCTGGGTTCAGGGCTGTCTGAACCCCGCGCAAACCTACAACAAGAGACAGCGAGCAGCAGCCACAGGACTGGGGGGACGGGAGGTGGGGGCTGATGCCTTTCCTCAGGGGACTTGGTTATGTGGGCATATCTGTGCTTCAGTCCGGGGGCACTGGGCAAGAGACCCCAGACCGGCTGGTCACTCAGGTGCACCCCTGTCCTCTGCTGTGACCCAGGACAGATGCCAGACAAGAGGGGCTGGGGGGGGGGGCAGACAGAGGGACACAGGGACAGAGAGATCTGCATTCCACAGCATGTTTTTATGTGTATCTCTTAGTGACTCAGCTCAAAATCATTATAAAATCATTATAAAATTTGTCTAATCAGTGGATTTTCAAAAGATAAAGAGAGATCTAGTATTCAATTTATCTCCTTCCCTAGTCTCAACTTATTCTGAATTCCTGTAAATTATTAAAGAAGGAACAGTTTAAGAATTGAATATTTTATTCACTTTGTGCTTAGGTATGTCTTAAAATACCCATTATAGAAGAAAAATGTTCTCTTTTCCAAAAAAAAAAAGAAAAATAATGTCAAGCAGAAACCAAAGTAATATGTAGTCTTAGTCAGAAGTATAAATACACAGCATGGGCATCTCTGAAGGCTAAATAAAGCCAAACACTTCAGAAATTCAGGAGGATTTAATGTATAACAGGTACTATAAAACGAGCATGAATTTATTATGCTTTGCAGTAGAAGAAAGACTTAATAAAAATGTATATAAAAGGCTTTAATAGAAAAATAGTAGTGAGTTATAGGTGAAAACACTGATAACATTTTCTAGAAACGTCAATGACTTTGCATTCGACGTGGTCCTTCAATCGTGAAAACAAGGGGAAATGTACACATAGTTAAAGCTATTCATTCCTTTTAAGGAGCATGCATTTCATAGGACTACAAAAATGAGATCGGCTCTTAAAGAGAAGCAAAGCAAAGCGGACAGCCAGCCGGTCCCCAGCCCTGCATTCAGTAGCCAAACGTGTCACCCTCTTTTTGTAAGTGCCGATGGCATGCCAGGTTGACCCGACAAATGATCTGTGAAGCAGAATAAACATATTGCTACAGCCCCACAAAATGACTGCAATTCATCCTTTTTTGGTGGGGGGATGACTCAGGGCGGTCCCTGAAGCATGCACCATGTGTACACTCAGCACGTCCCTGGCATCGGCTCGCTCAGGGGCAATGCCCACTCTGCTGGCACATCCTGACACCAGGACAGAGCCGCAGTTCGTGGCCTTAAATCACAGCACCGTCCGCAGAGGGCCACACACACCGTACACCCCAGCACCGCACGGGTCAGCCGTGGCAGGGCGAGTCTCTCTCCCTCTTTCTGAGACACAGGCACACAAGCAGGTGCACGCACGAGTCAAAGCCCCAAGCAACAGTAGGTGACTCCAACCCAAGCTCGTTAGAGCCACCGATTTCTTTATTTAAAATCGAGTTAATTTCAAAATCCTCCCTAATTTGGGGCTTAAAACCGAACATCCTTTATTCTTTCTTTGGGAAGGAAGACATTCTCCAAAATCTGGGGTTTCTGATCAACGACTATCTTAGATACATATTGTCGTAGCTATTTAAGGAGGGCAATGACATCAAGGACAGAATGACCCATGGTGACAGGGACAGAGCCCCAGTCAACTAGCAGGACCCTAACTGAGTGGGACAATGAACAGGTTGCCTTCTGGAGCAGCCCAACTCTGTGAGGGACACTTGTTGACATTCCTGTAAACAAGAACAGGTCCTCCCAGCTACATCCTTCCTGCTGCAGCCAGCATGAAGGTGTCATCTACTATCAGGGACTCCCGCGAATCAGGGCCAAAGGGACACACCCCTGGGACTAGGGACATCTCCTCTCTGGATCTAACTGCGCCAGATGGCTGCACACTAGGCACAGCTTCTGCTCCCCTAAAACCAGAGGAATCACACATCAGCTCCCAGCATAAGGGAAAACCACGTGTCACTGAAAAATGCCCTAAGAAAGGCCAGAAAATCATGACCCACTAGCCAATGGCAACCAAGAAGGAGTTTTTTAGAAACTCAGAACAATTCTACTAGGAGGCCAGGCAGGATCTATTTATACACCGTCTCCTCTGGCCTCATCGTACGAGGGGACGGGTGTTCAGCTCATGATCACAGACTGTACGTCTACAGTCACGCGTCCAATAGCACCTGCCTGCCTCAGGGATGAGGTGTTTCCAGCCCTGGAAATCCATTTCCAGTTTCTCATCTGATTAAAAATATACCTGCTCACAGCTATGTTATTCCTGTAGCCAAAACAACCCAATGCCATCAGTGGACGAGGGGATAAACAAAATGCGGTCTTTCGGCACAATGGAATAGTATGCAGCCATAAAAAGGAACAAAGTTCTGTCACCTGCTGCAACATGGATGAGCCTTGAGGACATTGTGCCAAGAGAAATGAGCCAGACACAAAGGGACAAATACTGTATGATCCCACAGGCAAACCAAGGGACAGAAAGCAGGGTGGGGGGTGCCAGGGGTGGGGGAAGGGGAGAAGTGGGAGCTATTATTTACTGGGGACAGAGTTCTAGTTTGAAAAGACGAAAAAGTTCTGGAGATGATGGAGGCGGTTATATAACGATGTGAATGAACGTGCTTCATGCCACTGAGCTGTGCACTAAAAATGGTTAAAATGCCCAACTTCATGTTATGTATATGTTACCACAGGTTAAAAAATACACATGCATCTCTGAAGAAGAGTTCTGTTTTGGAAAAATCAGATGGAAAGTTCATATGCAATCCAATATCAGCCCCCCTCTGGCACCCTAAGTTCAGCACCGAGCACCAGAATAGGAGCAGTCAGACTGACCCTCGGAGGCCAAGTGTAAACCCTCCCTCAGGGCGGGAGGGGCGCCGGTCCCTACTTACCCGGAGGAAAGTGGGAAACCCTTGTCCGTAGTAACCCACAGCGAAGTAGTCAGGCTTGGGTCTTATCACTTTGACGATGTTTTCGTAAAACAGAGCTTGTTTTTTCTGAAAGGAAGTAAGAAGGCACATTTCAGGTTTGAATTAGAGCATTTGGGGACTTGTTCTCTGGGTCCTTCCAGTGGGCTGTCGGCTTTGGGGGCCCCAGGAGGGTAGCACTGAGGCCCACCTCTGATGTAACCTCCCCTCCAGCATTCCACAGGGGAATCGGACCAAAAACGCCCAATTCAGCCATCAGCTGGAATTTACAGGTGTTTTCAAGAACCAAACAGGTGCCCAGAAAAGGTCTGTCTTCTGATTGAATGGCTGGTCATTAGTATTTTAAAAAATGGTGTTGCCCAGCTGGTGTGGTTGAGCGTTGACCCATGTACCAAGAGGTCCCCGGTTCAATTCCTGATCAGGGCACATGCCCAGGTTGTGGGCCTGGTCCCCAGTGGGGGTGGGGGACATGCAGGAGGCGGCCAATTGATGTCCTCTCTCATCAATGTTTCTATCTCTCTCACCCTCTCCCTTCCTCTCTCTCTAAAAATTGATAAAGAAAAAAAAATTTTTTTAATGGTGTTGATCAGATCCTGGGATATATTCAGGGAGAATTTAAAAGAGCAGAATTCTGCTCTAATAAACATCACAACATCATTAAGTCCATGATGCGGGGAGAGGCAGGCAGTGGGAGCTGCCAGCTTCCATGGCAGGAGGAAGGTCTGGGCTGCCTGCCGTCTGGTGGACAGGTTACCGGGCCTCTCGGGCTGCTGGGGCTCCGGCAGCTCCCCACACGTAAACCCGTCCCGGGAGTCCTAGAGTGTGGTCACCCCAGCTCCGCGGGAACCAAAAGTGAATGCTTGCGAGCCAGAATCAACACGCAGGAGCACGGAGAGCGTCCTCTGGACGATGCAGGACGCTGGCCGAGGCCTGGGGAGATCCCAGCGTGGAAAGGGAAGGCCAGGAACACCGGTGGCCTGGGCTCCCCTCGGCAGCAGGAAGGGGGGACCTACCAGCAGTTCGCTGAGCTGCTCGTAATCAAACATTTCGTTTTCGTACTGTTCGGCCAGTTCCTTGCCCAGGGCGATGGCCTCCTCCCACATCTGTGAGGAGACGGAGAAAGGGAGAGAGAAACCCACACCTGAATCACGCGCTCAACGCGTCACAGTCACACGACCATCATAATGAAACAGTGTGGAAATAAGCTTGCTTGAATCGAAAACATGATGAGAATAATATCGGAAAAGACAGTGGCTCATGACCTTCATCCACTGAGTCACCTGTTCACCTCCTGGCTCATCGGTCACGCGGCCTCTGCCCACCGTCCTGCTGACGGCCACGGCCACCAGAGCCATCGGCGTGGTCAGCGGGGGAACTGGGAAAAGGGACCGCAGGCTGATAAGAGGCGGAGGTGAGGCTGATTTTGCCCCTTTCCCAAATCGCCCTATTTCATAAACACTGTTTCAATGGCCGAGAAGACCAGGATTCACTTCTGCGCTGGGCGAAGGCTCGGCAGACATTCGCTTGTGTGCCGGCACCGTGAACTGTCAGGCCGCCACCGTGTAAAAGGGGGAGCTTCCTGCGGCCATCGTTATTAAAACGCTGATACACTTTCCGCCCTGACTGGCTTGGCGAGCGGTTAGAGCATCGGCCCTTGGACCAGAGAGTCGCGGGTTCGATTCGGTCCTCAGCCCTGGTCGGGGTTGTGTCGATGTGTCTCTCTCATGTCAATATTTTTCTCTCACTCCTTCCTTCCCTCCCTCCCTCCCACTCTATCTGAAGATTAATGGAAAAATATCCTTGGGTGAGGATTAAAAAAAAAATGCTGCTACACTTTTGACACCTGTGGAATAATTTGTTGAAACATATAGTAGGCCTGGATTTGCCTTGGGAAAAACAAAAGACAGTGGTTTACTTGAGGGGAACATGGGAAATACGGAGGGACCACCTCTTCCAGGAAGCCCTCCCAGGTGCTGCCCGCCCTCCTTTGTTCTCCCACAAGGACCCAGGATTCCCCTATTCCCCGTCCGTCCTCAGAGCCCATCAGCCCCCGAGGGCAGAGACCCAGCAGCATCCAATCCTCTGGACCTGAGCCCTGGGCCTGCTCATCAAAGCTTCTCGATCAGAACTGAAGGCTGTTGGCTTAGAATCAGGAAAGCGTCACACCATCCTGTGTCCCGCGTCCTTGGACACCAATCACCCGCTTCTCCAGCCCGCCAGCCACAGACAGAGCGCCCGCTGTAGGGCGAGTGACTCGGGCTCACTCTGCCCAGCAACACGCCACCGCGTCTCCTGTGCAGGTCCCGCCTGGCCAGGTGGGCATCTTTACTACACCTGTTTGCACACAAGGAAGTTAGGGATCAAACACCTGAGTGACTTGGGCAAGGGCACCCAGTGGGGTCGACTCCGCCAGCTTGGTCTTCTTCCAAAGTTCTGGCTCCTGATGACCATTTGAGTCCGAGCTGCGACAGAAAACACCACAGACAGGGCGGCTTCAACAGCACACATGTCTCCGTGCAGTTCTGGGGCTGGAAGTCCAACATTGAGGGGCTGGCAGGTTCGGTTCTTGGGGAAGACTCTCCTCCTGGCTTGTAGACAGCTGCATTCTCAGGTGTGCTCAGGTGGGCCTGTAGACAGCTGTGTTCCCAGGTGTGCTCAGGTGGGCCTGTGGACAGCTGTCTTCCCAGGTGTGCTCAGGTGGGCCTAGACAGCTGCCTTCCTAGGTGTGCTCAGGTGGGCCTGTAGACAGCTGCCTTCCCAGGTGTGCTCAGGTGGGCCTGTAGACAGCTGCCTTCCCAGGTGTGCTCAGGTGGGCCTAGACAGCTGTCTTCCCAGGTGTGCTCAGGTGGGCCTAGACAGCTGTCTTCCCAGGTGTGCTCAGGTGGGCCTGCAGACAGCTGCCTTCCCAGGTGTGCTCAGGTGGGCCTAGACAGCTGTCTTCCCAGGTGTGCGCAGGTGGGTCTGTAGACAGCTGTCTTCCCAGGTGTGCTCAGGTGGGCCCCTCTCCTTTTTCATCAGGGCACGAATGTTCTCAAGAGCCCGTCCTAATCACCACCCTGCCTAGACATAGTACCTCCCAGAGGTCCCTGCAGACACCATCTCAGGGTGGGTAGCGCTTCATCATATGTGTTTGGGGGAGGTGCACATGCTCAGCCCTCCGCAGGACCATGTGCCCCACCCCCCCAGGACGGGTTTGAAAGGTACGTCCCGAACGCCACTGGAACAGGCTGGCAAGTCCCGCACCTGGCATAGCCTTGGCACCGAGCCCTACCTGCCTGCTAATCTTTGCCTTTTCTCAGCACAATGACCCCCACCAGGGCCTTACTTATTACTGAATCACCCAAAAGACTTAAAATACTCTTTACATAGTTACGGCTTCTAGAAACCATCTGCCGTTTTTGGTGAGGAAAAAGCTATTCTGAAATAAGCGACGCCTTTTAATACTTAGAAAGACAAAATGAAAATAAGCCCAGAGAAGAGAGAAAAAGGCGAAGATGTCCTTCCTACGGAGGACACGCGTGCTCCCTCCCGGAGCTCCCAGCCCCTTACCCCCGTGACCTCCTTCCCGTTCAGGAGCGTCCTCGGCATCTTAGTCCCCGTCCGGAGCTTTCTCAGGTCCTTTGCTCACACTCAGGAAGGGTGTGCGTCTCTCCCTCTCACGTCCCTCCTGAGCCCCGGCGTATGTCCATTTCAGGGACGACAGCGCCATCCCGCAGGCCTCTCTCCGGGGCTTCCCTGTCCTGAAAGCCCCCTCGCGCCCCGAGCTCCAGAATGTCAGGGCTTCTAATCCGCGGCCTAATGTCTTCTTGCCCCAAGTGACAGATGGGATGATTTGGATACACATCGAAACACTTGTTTAAAACATATATAAGTCCTGAATAAATATCGCATCCAACTCACCCCGAGGTTACACGGCGGTGTTTTCTGCCAGATTTTCTATACCGCGCCCCCCCCCGCGCCCCACAACCCAGGCACTTTTCAAGGGTTCCGAGTTAAGGAGATTTTTCACCTGTTTTTAAAAGGACGGGGCTCTAAGGAGTGTGGGGAGCTCATACTTCTGATGTGAATGAAAACTAGAGCCAGAGAACACAGACTCAGTGCGACGGAGACTTCGATAACCCGGTGAGGAGACAGACGGCTTCCGCCGGTGCGGCCGAATGGCCGTCTGGGATCCCTCGTGAGAAGTGCCCAGGGCGTCCGAGGCTCACCGCGGCCTAAATGAAAACGCAGCAGCTTCATTTCTGATGTGGTCCTTAAGCCGTTCGATAGTCTTCTTGAAACTGTTCGTTGACTTGCGACACAAAACGCTCTCCCCGTCAAATGATCTCGCTCCCCTCCCCCGAGATGGCCTTTTCCTCCTGGGCCTGTCGGCGTGAGGAAGTTCTATTTCTGCAAGTCGCAGGAATTGAACACTTTTTCTTTTCCTGCTGAAAACTTCCAAGACAGAAGTGGCTGCCCAGAACCTATCGATTGAACACAGGTATTGATTTCTCACAGAGAATGAGGAGGCTGGTGATGGCCCGGCGGACAGAATGACAATGATCAATCTCACAGAAGCAGTAGTGTTAGATGAAGGACAAGATGCCACCTGCACACCTGTCCCTGACCAGTAGTTCAGTCTGCACACCTGTCCCTAACTAATAGTTCCGTCTGCATACCTGTCCCTGACCAGTAGTTCAGTCTGCACACCTGTCCCTGACCAGTAGTTCAGTCTGCACACCTGTCCCTGACCAGTAGTTCAGTCTGCACATCTGTCCCTGACTAGTTCAGGCTTCCGCCTGCATACCTGTCCCTAACTAATAGTTCAGTCTACACACCTGTCCCTAACTAATAGTTCAGTCTGCACACCTGTCCCTAACTAATAGTTCAGTCTTCATACCTGCCCCTGACTAGTTCAGGCTTCTGCCTGCACACCTGTCCCTAACTTAGTCTGCACACCTGTCCCTAACTAATAGTTCAGTCTGCACACCTGTCCCTAACTAATAGTTCAGTCTTCATACCTGTCCCTGACCAGTTCAGGCTTCTACCTGCACACCTGTCCCTAACTTAGTCTGCACACCTGTCCCTGACTAGTAAGTAGTTCAGTCCGCACACCTGTCCCTGACTAATAGTTCCGTCTGCATACCTGTCCCTGACTAATAGTTCCGTCTGCACACCTGTCCCTAACTAATAGTTTAGTCTGCACTCCTGTCCCTGACTAGCAGTTCAGTCTGCACACCTGTCCCTAAGTAGTAGTTCAGTCTGCACACCTGTCCCTGACCAGTAGTTCAGGCTGGCAGTGATACCCGGGGATATCGGAGGGCAGCTCGGGTTTACTCTGCTCACTAGTTGCAAGTAACCCACCAAGGAGGTGCCTTCTTGAATTTCAGTCATTCTTCTAAAATTCATCTGTATTTCCAGCCAGCCGCTGGAAAAGAGTCACAAGCCAGAGCCCTCTGAATTTCCAGTGTCACACAAGGTCACTGATGGGACAGAAATCCACTGGGAGGTCCCCTCTGCACCAGAGGGACCATGGTGGCCCAGACCAGCACTGCATCCGCCCTCAGGTCAGTGTGGGGTGCTGAGAGGAGAGGCCCTCCCATGTCCCCTCGGACGGGGCTGGATCGCCAGGAAGACATGCGTCAGGGGAACGGCCGATGGGGCTCAGGGCTGCGGCCCGCTGCTCCCCGACAGACAGACAGACAGACGACTTCCCTGCAGCTGCAGCCAAGTGAGCCATCTTCAGGAGTCCGTCTTCCGGTGCTGGGCGCCCCAGCACGCACCAGGGGGACAGACTGGAGCAGTGCTCGGTTGCTTGTCCGACCACTGGTAACCCCAGAGCCAGCCCCGCAGGGCCCGACGCTCCGTCAGTCACGGGTGCTGGGTGGCACCCGCCACCGAGCAGGCTCGTTCGTGAGAAAACTCCTGAGCTCGGCAGAGCGTGGGGGGCAGAGAGGTTACTGACTGAAATCTGATTTTCTCACACTCAGTAGTAAATGACTCTTTTGTTTACAGGAGCAGATCAGAGCGAACACTTGGGCCAAGTTCTGGTTAACTGACTAGTTTCTGGAGACTACTAAGACTTTCAAACATTCAGGAAATCCTGTGCAGACACCAAAAGGAG